CAAATCAAAGCTGTGTTGCGCCGATCTGTAAAAAGTAGTAAGAGTAATTTTGAAATTATATTCGTATAATATGCAGAAGTAGGTATAGAAGCAGAAGAAATTTATTTAAAATTTTGTCAAAACATTGTTACTTTCCGAAATTGTATTGTTCTTCTGTTCTTAGACGTTATCATAATAAAAACAAAAGAATAACATCAAGCGACTTAATTTTTTTTATCAATTTGTTACAAGAAATAATTAAAACATGCAATAACTAGGAAACCGTTTGTAGCAGCCTTTGACCTTTTGTAACAAATTAAAGGTCTCTGAAAAAGAAAAACAACAGCGAAGAAAAAAATTGGGGGTGCCATTTGAAAAAATGGGGTTATGGATATTTAAAAATTGAGAGCTTTGAAAAAGTGACGTAGTCTCACTTTTTTAGACGGTTACGCATACCATAAGAAAACTCGATCTTTCCTTAATAAAGCAGTGAAAACTGTTTTGCAATATCTCTCACCGTTTTTGAATAATAAATTTTTAAAATTACCCCTGCAAATTCAATTTTTGACATAAAAACTTGAATATCGACGACGCCCTTGGAGCAAAGGGCCAAAGGGTATCGTTGTACTTCAAATTCGACGTAGAAGCCGAAAATTTAGAAAAAATAGGAGGTCCCTATTTAAAATAACAAAGTTGATGGCCACTTCCGGTATTTGCGGAAGTGGCGCCATCTTGAAAATATTTTAGTTCAATTCATCATGTGCCAAAACCCTTAAAGGACTTATCAGTTCAGTTTCATTTTCAAAGGTTCTCCATATCTTTCTAACTGACGCTGGTCAAGAATGACCCTGTAGCGTAGTGGTTTGTGATCGACAGTGGTAAGGTATGGAGTATGTTGCGCATCCGTCGGTTGCTAATAAGCAAAGAGGTTTCTTAATAAAAACTTTCTTTTTGCGCCAATATTTATTATTTATTTATTTTCGTTTATTAGCACGCACTGAAATCGTAAATATCCATGACGTGTGACGTATAATTGTGTAAAATAATTGAAATAAATACAAAGGTAATCAAGAAAATAAATGTCAAAAGTAAGTAGAATGTATTTCCCATCCTCATATCTCGCATCACATGAGAGACATGAATTGAAATCTACAAAGGAAAATCGCACTGAGATTTGAAGAAAAAAGTATAAGCTACGTATTTACTACAGCTACTTACTAGGACAAAAAACTAACAGATAACTTTACTGAACTTCAAGAGAATTTCTCTTTATCCGATTTCAGTAAGAGATAATGTTGCTTTGGAAGCGCGAGTCATTAGATTAATCTACTTTTCCGATTTGTGAAATGAACATAGTTAACCTTTACATTGATAAAAAATTATGCAGTACGTCTTCTACCAGTGAAATATCTTAACTGTTCGCCCGGTTAAATAAAAGCGGCAATCAGATTCGTTGGAATGGACCTGAGGAAACCTATTAAACTACAGGATGATCTGGAAAAAAGATGTTTAAAAGACTAATTTGGTAACAAGGAAATCTATTTAAGCCCTTTAATTGTTAGATAACAATTTTATTTGAGGAAGCCCTCGCGGAGAAGTATAAAGTTTACCGAATTAGGAGACTTGTATTACCCAAGATCCGAGATCATTGGCCTTTAACTTGCGTAAATGGTCATCACTAGAAAGGCTTTCCCGGTTAAACAAATTGCCAATTTGGCAATTCGTGATGAGGTTCGGCAATTTGATTAAATCCCGGAACTAATTGGCCGAATATTGTTTACGGCACTCTTCCATAAGCAACTTTGTTAAGTTGCGAGGTTATATATCTATTTTTGAATAACATCGAGAAAATTACTCGTATCATAAATTTTACGATCCTTTCCAAATAAAATGGGAGTAATAGAGAAAATCTTGCCGAGAATCGTTCCCAGCCGTAAATCTATACATTAGAGGGGTAAGTAAGTTTGACTGCGGTTCAAGTTCGAAGGAAATTAAAATGAAGAGGTTTAGATACCGTGCTCTATAGCAACCATCAATCAAGAAGCTTCACATAAGATCGCTTTGTTCCTATATTTTCGAGCCCTTAAACTTTTTGTAAACCCCCGAATAAACTTTTCGATGAAATCCCACATTAGCATAAAACAATTCAGTACCCATTACGGAAAAGAAGTCTTTCATACTGAGAGGTCAATTGCGTTTATTATTAGAGATTTTAACATTCATATTTAATTTATTCAGACTAACCGTGTTAAAAACAGGCTGTCATTTTTATTATGTCTTCTGACGTAATATAAAATTTATAAAACTTATCAAGTTTCTGGTGACAAATTTTCGGGCGTGTTTCCTTTCACAAAATTTACTTAAATATAAACATGACGTGAAAAAGTTACTGATGGTTATTCCCTACAGGATTATATTCTTCAAAGTTAAAAGGGCTTTGAAATTTTGAAAGTCAATTTTTGCTATACACGCAATAATTGTTACCTATTCAAATTCAAAATTGTTAAATTATAGTTATGGGAAAATTTATAAACTTATTTAGGTTTAATTTTTAATGATGTGGCTTTTATGCGAGATAAAAGTAAGTATCTCGTTAATAGATAGAAAGAAACGATAAAAGAAAATGTCGTTAAATCAAAGCTGTGTACCATTGAATAGGGGCTGACATTCGATTCTTCATTTAAAGGTATCGCACAGTCGTTAGCTCAAAAGGATTAGTTTTAATTAGAAATGACGAACTTCATTAAAATGTAAAGCGAAAATCCAGCAAACACGCGCGGTGCTTTTTATAAGAAAAAAGGACCCTTATAGTAAAAAAAAATTAATTATTTGCAATATGTTAATGTAACCTTTTGTTAAATTCATATATATATATATATATATATATATATATAAAATATTTAATGATAGATTTCAACACGTTGTTAACATTGGCATTGTTGGACCATTGCCAATAGGGTTACTATCATTGACATATGCTCTCGATGGTCAGAGGCGGTACCAATACAAGAAGCTACGGTTGAAACAGTTGCTAATAGTCCAGGGAAAAGAGGGTTTTAACTTGCAAAATGAGAAGTAGTTCCAATTTCTAACTAAAAAACCAACCAAATTTCTTTGATTTTAGGGGCGGTACGGGGAAAGCACAAAGGGTGTGAAGTCGAAAACTTGGATTCTTAACCACCAGATATTCCTACATGACATGCAAACAAATTTGGAACTACTTCTCGTTTTGCAGGAAATGGTCCATTTTCAGTCTCTACTATAAAGCGGACTATACAGCTTTAATATCCACATGGAATTCCAGATCGCATTACTTCGGATCGAGCCCGACAATTGGATTGTGCTCTCTATTTTATCTTATGCAAAATTTTAGGAATTCAACACATTAAAACTACAGCATCATCCAACTGCCAATGGCATTATAGAACGATGGCACCGTAGACTCAAATCAGCGCCGAAGACACAACTTTCAGAAAACTGGGTGGAGGAACTAACTATAGTGATGATGGGTCTGCGGGCTTGCATTATTCTTGAATATTATATGGTGAAACTACTCGTCGAAGCCGTTTTGCTGGGAAAAACTTGGCTCTCATTGTTAATTCCCTTCCAAGTTCGAAAAATAGGTGTTTCTCGGACCAACTATATTGAAGCAATTTGTAAAACATGCCATCCAAAAATTAAATATATTAAAGGTTCTGTAATAACTACAACAAATTTTGTGAAACATTTCAAAACGGCACATCAGAACGCCTATACCGAGTATCTTAAATACAAAAACAAAAAAAGGGAACGTGTTAAATCTGAAAAATCAAAAACAAGTTCTGCCGAGCCTAAAAACAATAACCAAGACGGATTTCGAAAATAGACTGATTAAATTCGTAATTAACACCAGTCCTTTATCAGTAATAGAACATCCCAGTTTCAAAAGTTATTTGATGGATTTAATCTAGAAATTACTAACAGAAACACTTTGACTCGACCTATCTCTGAATTATTTCAACAAAGGAATCCAAAATTGAAATCCAATTTATTAACTGTCCAATATGTTTGTACAATGGCCGATATTATGTCAGGAAAAAGAAGTTTTATTGACACAAAAAGTAAACATGACTTCCATAAAAAAAACACAAAGTTGTTGATGGTTGACTGGAGACGAAACGCCAAGCTTAAAATTTAAAAATAGTGTCTTGTCGAGGGAAAAAAGTGGCCATGATAATGTGTCACTTATTGCTTGCGATATCTTTTTAAATAACTTCAGTAAAAAATATCCGGATATCTCCGAAAGTAGTCGGAATTTGTTCAGATTCAAAACATGGTTTTGTATTTGGTAATTGTACACGCGTACTGATAGGAATATCGTGTAGAATGTTTACTTTTCCTTAATAATATAAGTAATATTGTTATGCTTTGAAAATTCAATTCAAAATTTGCTGAAGCGGAATTAAACGTAATGTTCAGAACAGTATGCCGTACAGATTTCTGCAACGCTTAGAAGCACGTTGTCAGTGTTGCGTTTTTCATTTTGTTAAGTGGCTACATGGAGTTTAGCTCTTAACTTATCGCACTAATTGGACACCACTCATTGGAGGAACGTCCATCTTACCCTTTTAAGAAGCATACATTTTTCTTAGCTGTTTCTCTCAGAGCCTGCTCGTCGAAAAAAAATGGGTGAGGCAAGCGCTAACTTTGCCGCCCGAATGAAAAGGTTTTTTGCTTTTTATTGGTTCTTTAATATGAGTATAAGTACAACCAAACTAACGAGAAAATTAAATAAAATCGTAGAAATCAGAAAATGACGTTTACAGAAGCATACAAAAAAACGGAAATTCGAACAAAATACCAAAACAGTGTAATAATACCTATATTTATACAACTTTTCTTGAATTCTATAATAAAATAGGCATTTATTGAGCTTCACTACATATTCTAATGAATAAAAAAAAAGCATGTTGTGACGGCCAGTTATATCTTTAGGCAGTATGAATTGTGTCGTGTATAGATTTGGCCACCGGGAGGTAATTTCTCTTTTTACCGCTTGGAGTCCCTATTTCGTAATTCGTTACCTTGGGGTTTACGATTAAAAGCCGGTGGTGGGACAAGGAAATGGCGATCGGAGTGCATTTTGTGTTAGCACGCCGAAAAGTAATGTTGCGCATTTAAAAAGTTGGAATTAATTGTGTTCATTGAGGCATCCGTTTGGATATTGGAATTGGATATTTGGGGAGTTTGTCTCAATGCCGCTTAGCGGGATTTAATTGATATCCACTTAATTGGTGCTTTGGTCTGGCACTCGGCTTGGCCGGATTTTATGCAACAAGGCGTTTATCGGCTTTTATTTTGATCATCCGCTTCAGGTCGAAGGTAAGAGTCATTCCTTATTCTTTTGTGGTCATTTCGTTATTTCATACGGGGTATATTTGCAGCGGATTTTGGGTGACGGATCTACATTACCACGTGAATCTAGTATTTGTTTTGTCACTTATCGGCGTGGGAACAGTCGTGGGTCTCGTGTAATCAGACTGGAGTTTTGGTATTGGATGTGAGCTGCGAAGGATATGTAAAACTGTTCGAGTTCGAGTTCCGGGGAGACCTGTTTCACTGTGATTGTCTGTACCGCATGGAGGGTTATTTGTCGTAACGTCGGAGGAATTTTATGCATGGCTGTAATGGAGGGAAGCCGTTAACTGGGTGGAATCGTCGTGTACCAAGTTCGAGCGCGACACCTGTCCGAGAACTTGATCGTTCTGGTCGGAGACAGCTCCGAGACATCGTTGCCGATTTTGCTGTTCACCGGTACCGTCCCATTGCGATCCCTTCGAGTTTACCGATAGGCGAGGACCCGCACAGCTAAGTGGATTGTTGGTTGTTTCGTGTACATGCTGGTGACACCTCTGGAAAACGTTACTTTTGATGCGAGGTTTGGAATTTCACGTAAATTATTACTAGCAGAGAATCTGATAGATTCTATTTAGCTGTTGGCTTAACCCGACTTGTTAGTAATTAGTTGAAGTCCTTCGTATCTCAAGTAAGATACTGGGAGATTGTTGGTTGTGTAATTAATATTGGAACCTGGCATAGCCGGTTAAATGTAACGATTTTGGATTCACTTAATTAACATACCTATTGAATAGCGTCACTGGCATAATCAAGTACATTTATTTGTGTGTCACATATTTTTCTTGTTGGAAATTATTTGTTTCCTTTATTAGGGTGGGGACCAGTGATAGCTGCTGGTAATTGTCATAACAATTAAGGGGTTTTATATATGTTATTTATGCATGATAGATTTTTAATATGGGTAACCTTCTGTGATTTCGCACTGTGGTAAGTTTGATATATATATTTATTTATTGAATTTTGTGTGTTGGGTGGCAGCAAATCAGGCGGCCCCAATTTGATTCTTTGTGATGCATCACCAGGTATCTTAAGTATTTATGTGTAACTGATCGGTGTAATAGTTCGTATTGCGTACATTTGCTTGGTACGTTTTGAGGTAGCAGATAAATCGGAAATCCGATATTATTCCCTGCTACTCGGGTGTTCGACGTCGAAGTCATAGGGGGGGTTGATTGTTGTCCTTTAAATTTTGGATTATTTATTTGCTTGTTGTCATTTTAAAAGGGGGGGGGGAGATTTTGGGTACTTGATTCGGCGACCGTTTAATTGGTTTGTGTGGCACGAGTTGCAGATTCTATTATTTACTCTTGTTATTACTTACAATTTTTTTCGAGATTTGTTAAATAGTTATTAAAGAGGGCTAGTCAAGTTGTATGTATTTGTGTTTTGATTGCGAGAGTGTGTGAGTACCCTGGGTACGTGAGCTGTCGCTCGATTCTTTCTTTAAATTACCATCTACGGACCGACTCCCGGTACTAGAGCAGCGGTTGGGAATCCGAGTCGGTGGCGCCCACAACTTTTTTTGTATCACTTTTAGGATTTGGTTCCGGCCAACGTGGAACCCCACCCGTCTCCCTGAGCTAGAGCAAGGGTGCGCTGCCTATACTTATTTGAGTCGAGTTGACAGTGAGAGGAGGAAATTGCAGGTAGGGTGGTAGCGCCATAGGTGACTGCATTCTTATTTGGTTACTGTATTCTGCTTCGGCTATTTGCCAAGTTGGCGTTGCAATGTTCAAGCAAACTCAAAGGGGCGAAAGTTCAGACTGGTGGGCACCCAAGAGGGTACCACACTGTCTGTTCTACCACTTAACCCCATTCCATCGAGCTTTTAATACTCAACCACAAACGGCAGAATTGCATAATTTGGGTTCTCATTTACAAAATTTTTAACAATATCATCGAAGTCTATGTTAGAACTTAGTTCATGTTCATTGGCGAGAATGGCCAGATCCGTTAATCTGTCCTGTGTCATTGTTGAACATAAATAATTCATCATGTTTTTTATTTTTAAATTTCAAAATTGCCGCCGCTAAGATTATGCCGCCTGAGGCGACCGCCTCGCCGCCTTACCCCACGAGCCGGCTCTGGCTGCTCTTCATCGATAGATATATAAAGACGAAGAGTAATTAATTCAATCTGATCCTTATATAATACCTCAACCGGACACTAAGAATTTTACAGAACGGTGAGATTAACGAATCGGGAAGTGCCGAAGAAATTAATTGAAATATCTACAAAAAGAAAAAGTAAGTAGCATTTTCTGAGATGAAAAAGAGAATTGTGCAGATACCAGAAACTACTAAGTTTAAAGTCAGTACTTTTTTCCTTCAATCTAACTTCCTCCAACCAATTGGGATGAGTTGTACTAACAATAATAAAGTGCCGCTATTTGTCATGTAACATCTAATTTTTCGTTCTTTTATGACCGCCCTTGACACCTTTATTATCAGAAACATAAACTTTTCAGTTTGAAAGATTTGATTATGTCAACATGTAGAGATGCAGGTCGCTCTTGGGACACATTTTGAAATTTCACGCACTTGTAAGTTCCTTTTACAACTCCTTTAATAACTTCGCATATAACTTCTTTCAGTTTCGCCTTTCATCGCTTCTGATTCCTAAACTAAACATTTCTGCTACTGAACTGCTTTAGTTAAAAGTGTATTAGTTGCGCGCAGATTGATCATTCATTCGAAATGGAACTTTGTAGTTTTAGAGAAGTTCTGTTCGCATATTACCGCCGCAAAGGAAAGGGGGCGGACTACTGAATAACATTTGTTGATTTATCTACCTGGTGAACTATTTAAGCCGCGGCAACTTTGTGTGGCTATTCAAACAGAACATAGGATTCTCTTTAATGTGAGTCAAGTCAAACACAGTATTTTAAATTACTACCGATGTAGTAATGTAATTTTAAGAATAATAAGCAGTTTCAAATTTGCTCAATGAACTGACTACTATAATACACAACTCAATGGTGTATATGAAACCAATCCGAAACTCGTCGACTTTTTCAAGTTTTCCATTACGCCCAGTACAATTATTAATGAAGTGGTAAACCCGTTGCACTCGCGCGAATTGCTGAAGTTTGAAAGTGAGCTTACCCTTACGTCACTTATATCAACAGCATGTGAAATTTGCTTGTAGATCACGCTATTTGCTTATAGTAGGGGAGCTAGCACGAAATCCACTGAACGAGAATGATCAAAATTTTAACCGATGGAGTTCCATTTTGCCCTATCAGAGTATGCTACAATCGATCGTCTGCCGCCTCAGGTCATATGACTTAAGGCGCTGCGGGTACTTCTTGTGGTACCAATTCTGAAAGGTTGTTTTTCGAGAAAATAAGTTATACACCAAATGAAAACGTTGATAATAGCTCTTAAAAAAATAGTTAAAAAAATCGCGCACATTTGATAACTCCGTAAAAAAACAATTCTTAGTCGGTTTTTCACGAACTTTCTACGAATATAACTAGGTTACCGTTGGAAGAATGAAGCTGATTTTTTTTACAGACCAATGATAGGTACAGCCAATGACTATGAGAGTGTTTCTTTTTTAAATTTTTTCTCTAATTATAAGATATCTTATAATGTTAAGCTAATAAGATAATCTTGTAATTAGAGACAAAATTTAAAAACGAAACACCGTTAAGTCATTAGTAGTGCTTATCATGAGTCTGTAAAAAAAATCAGCTTCATTCGTCCCACCGGAACCTAGTTATATCCGTAGAAAGTTCGTGAAAAACAGACTAAGAATTGTTTTTTTACGGAGTTATCAAATGCGCGGGATTTTTTTAAATATTTTTTTAAGAGCTATAATCAACGTTTTCATTTGGTATATAACTTATTTTTTCGAAAAACAACCTTTCAGAATTGGTACCACAAGAAGTACCCGCAGCACCTTAAGTCGTATGACCTGAGGCGGCAGACGATCGATTTTAGCATACTCTGATAGGGCAAAATGGAACACCATCGGTTAAAATTTTGATCATTCTCGTTCAGTGGATTTCGTGTTAGCTCCCCTACTATTACAAACGTTACTAAAAATTTCTCTTTTGTTTCAGGTAAGCGGAACAGAAGGATTTTTGAAGGTCTCAAACACCAAGGTACAAATATTTACACTTGTAATAAGAACTTCTATTTTGTTGTGAATAGCAAAAGCAACTTACCTATTTTATTTGTATGGTCATCTTCGGCTTTGCGGTCGGCTACTAGTATAACTGAAAGTGCGTCAGTATTAAAAATATCTTAGCTAGTTAACAAATAACAGTCGATAGCTGATTCCCAACCACGACCTATGGGTTTCGTAAATCCCTATGTACTATAAGAATACTTGCATCTTTGAAAAACGTATATTTATAATAACTGGAAGTAAATGCATCTTCATTAGTAAGTATAGGGCGTTTTTTTTTGTTTGAGCTTGAGTATATATATATATATATATATATATATATATATATATATATTTCATAGTGTGCAATAAACTGCTTCCACGTGTATATAGTATATTCGGGCTACCTACGCCATCAGCACCTCCACCCCCACAACAATACTAGTTTTCTAATTACTATATAGACCAAGGTTCATACTGTTAACTGAAAGTTTTTTGGATCCTTTAAGTATTCTTCCAACTGCATCAAATCATTGTCATCATTACAGTAAATACAGTAAAAATTGAAACAAGATTATCATGGGAAACAATTAGTTGAGTAATTTTTAAGGCGGCTATCTCTTCTAAAACTTGTAACATAATTCCTTGTAAAATATTTGAAGGTGTACTACTTCTGCTGAATGATTTATCACTTCGACCCAACAATGTACGACTTAGTGTTGTGTTATAGTACTAGCGGTATAACGGAAATTCTTGAAAGATGCTGCATTTTGTTATACCAAGGTGGCACTTGTTGCAGTTGTTCCTTAGAGCCATTTAAACGATTTGACCCGAAGAACACTTGACATTTTCCGTGTGGGTAGATTTTAGAGGGGGTGGGGGTGATTTATTGTAACATTTTTTTAAAAACTAAATATGGCCTAGAGACGAGATCTGGGTGTCGATTTCCTATGATTTTAACCCGAGGAATCCAATGGTAGCGCCAGAAATGTAATGCGGATACGGGAAGTCCGTGAAAAGCCGCCATTTTTAGAAAATGACAGACTTTTGATCGAATTATATTTCTAAGGCACACCGGGTCGTGTAAATATACAAAGGAGGGTTAGTATCCCAAATTTTACATAAAGAAAGCGGCATTCTTCCCTATAATCGATACCTCCTAAAATTCTCAACGCTCGACGCTGTAATGAAAATAGCCTTGACGAGCTGGAACAGTTTCCCCATACAATGTTGCAGTAGCATAAATGACTTTGTATGAGAGACATATAAGCCAATTTTAAAATATTTATAGATAAGTTGTCCGCTAGTCGTCGCAAGAGGTATATATTAGCTGTAATT